AGACAGGTGTTATGGGCAAGACAAAGGTGAAGGGCTTTGGTTGGCTCAGGCAGGTCAGGCTTTTGGCCTTGATGGAACTGAGTTATTTGCTTAAGCTGTTCATTGTACTCATGCCACTGCTCCCAAGCTGTGCATAGGAGTTGCAGCTAAGGGGTTAGGTCTCTCCCCTTTTTGCTTAGGTAACGCTCCCATTGAACAGGGTTGCAGATGAAAGGCCCAAGGGCTTGTGTAAGACATGCCCTTCCTTTGCCACAGACCCATTCAACCAAGAGTAAGAGGTACTGTCATCCAGAGCCAAAGTTTCTCACCTCCAAGGTACCACACAGGTTGGGAGCAAGACATCCCAGATTATTTCAGCATTACACAAGCCTGGAGTGCTCAGCAGGAGTTGTCACTCGTCAGTGGTCCTGGCAGGGCACTCAGCAGAGCCAAACACCTTTCCCAGACAGGGTCCCATCACGCAACATGCTCCAAGTATGGAGCACACCAACAGCTCCCAGAATAGCTGGCAAAGGAGGTGTCAAAGTAACCCCCTAGCTAAACCCCTGCTGTGCTGGCATCAGGCTTGCAGCATGCCTTCTCCCTCCTGTGTGCACCAGGCTTGGCCAGGAAATGGGCAGTGCAGGGTGGGCAGCAGAGAGAGGTACCTGGGTGCTAAAGGCACGTAGAAGCCTACAGCTGCAGGTTGCAGTGGGCAGCCCCAATGCCTAAGGAGATGCTTGGGCACTCTGAGGTTAGGGAGGGATTGGGCTTTTTTTTCACCCCCAAAGAAGTGTCTGGGGCATCTGAAAGAGTGAGGTAAAAATAAAGAGTGCGAACCAGCTAGATTAGCCCCGTATCACAATGTACAGATATAGCCCAGAAGTGCAGATATTTCCTAACATGTCCCTCATCTGTGAACATGCAGCATCGCCTGCCTGATGTATGGATGTGGCTCATGCAGCACATTGAAAAAAGTCCTGATAGGAAAGCTTTTTCGGCCTCAGGATGCCAGCCTTGGGCAGGTAAACGGGTGGCACTTGCCCAACAAGCCCATTTGCCTGTACAAGTCTGTAACTTCCTCACACAGACAGTGAGCTGCACCTCTGGGAGACACTTTGGGATGCCCTCCCTGATGTGGGAAGCCAGCAAACCACTGACATTTGAGGGGGGACCTGACCCTTGTCCCCTCTATTGGTGCAAAGCCACCAAGGTCCTCCTAGCTCCCCAGACAGAAGGGAAAGCCTTCTGCAAAGCTGTGGTCAGACACACTTTGCATTCCTTTCACACCCTCCTGTGCTGTTGGTGCAGGGGATATCACCTCCCCACTCTTATCGACAACTCGCCACCTCCTGTGAGATATGAGGTACTTGGCCGGAGGTCCAGGCACAAGCACCTGGTCACTCAGGGGTGGGACACTGCAGGGCACAGCGGGGGCCAGCAACTGCCTCTGGGGTGGCACAGTGCTGCTGGGGCCATGCTGGCCCATGTCCAAACCAGGCACTGGGAGCAAGCATGGTGCTTGCATGGACTACGACTGCAGACCTCATGCTGGACGATTGGGATTAGCCTTAAATTTCAGGCACCCCAAGCACAGAGAGGCTGCCCACATGCTCACTGCATGGTCTGGGATAAAAATATCCATTTCTCACTACCGAAGTTCCCATGGGTGGACAGTGGGGGATGTGGCCTGTGGAACAGATTTCCTTTGGGTTTCCAAGGTCCTTTGTGGAACCACGCTGAAGGACAGAAGCTTTACAGGCATTTCTACACAGGTGCTGTAGATGGTGGTGGAGCCCAAGCAGAGGCTGGCTGACTTACAGACCCAGTCAGCAGCATAAAACATCAGCTACAAGGGGTCAAACCAGCTAGCAGGTGCCAAATGGGAAATATAAGAGGGGTTTCCAACAAAATGCACCCTTTTTTCCATTGCCAGTGAGGTTTTCTGTCATGTCTGCCCATGGCACCCTTTTCTGCCTTTCATGGTACTCTTTGAATCCCACAGACTAAATGAAGCAGGCATGAGGAAAGCACCAGCTGGCTGCCTGAAGATAGCATTTTAATTAACCAGCCTCCAAATGTGAACATGACCAGAAGCCTTTGAGGGAAAGTTCTCATGCTCAGGGTGAAAGGCTGCATGCTGGAATCAGAGCACCAGCCTGCAAACCTGGCCTCACTCCACGTGTTCTCACCTCACTTTGGGATGGGGCTTAGGTGAGCCAGGTGCAAACCCTGGGCAGGGTGAGGGGCAGCCACACTCCTGCATCCCAGCCTCTCCAGGAGCAGGATCCTCACTTATGTGCAGCTTCTCCAGCCAGGCTGAGCTCCCCTCCAACATCAAGCTGTGATCATTCTCCTCATGAGACGTGACAGCCCAGGTATATCCACCCTGGAGGATGAAGAAGAAGAGCTGGACTACTTCCAGGACCCCAGGCATCTCACTCAGAGCTGGCTTGGGCAGGTTCTTGCTGCAGTGGTTTGAAGCAGCTGCCTCAGCTCTGCTGCAGCCACACAAAAGTGAATTGTTTGGGCAGGCAGTCATCCCAGCTGAATGTGCCATCCAGCCAGGCACTGCCACTGCCTCATGGAGTAGGTGGCTACTAGGTCACCTGGCTCTGCAGATGTCCCACTTCTGAGCCCTCAGAGGTAGGAAAAGAGAGGTGCGATATGCTCTTCTCCTCCAGGTGCTGGGAGCAGCCAGCCCAGCTCACCATCAGCAGGCAGAGTTTGACATGTTGCAACTGATAGTAGGGACCTGTTGCCTCATCCGAGATCTGGGTTCCCTCATGCCGAGATTTCACATCCAGCTCAGCCCAACCTGCCAGTTTCAATCTTCTCAATCTGATGACCAAGTAAACATCTCCCAAGTCACATAGAGACAATGCAGGTCTACTGAGGATAGGTTTGCTGTCTTTGTCACCTTCCACCGCTATCTGCAAAACAGTCCATAGATCTCCACAAATCAAAAGCCAGTGGAGAACATGCAAGGAAGGCAATTCCTTGGGTTCCTCTCACAGCAGCATCCACAGATGGCCCCCACTCGCCTTCTCACCTCACTGCTACACTCCATGAGATGATACTGAACAAGACAAATCAGGCCCTCCTCAAGTACTCATCCTCTTTCCTCCACTCTGCTCTTGGCAGAGGCTGTGGCTGCAGATCCACCTGTTGAGCTACCCAAGTCCATGCTAAATAAAAACCAGATCCTTTGCCTTCACAAGAGCAGGATGGAGGCAGCCATGAACTCAGTGGTCTGTATTAACATGGATGAGTCACCTCCCAGGCATCCAGGAACATCCTGTATGCTCCTTTCCAGCGTGGCCAGACACGTGATACACTCACCTCCACAGCTGATGAGGAAATAACATAACTTCCAAAGAGGTTTTTCTTCCCAAAGACCCCAAAGTGCATCACAAAAGATGCAACAGATCAAGATCCCTCACAAAGTGATGAGCACGGTCAGAGCTGAACAGTTCTTTGTTCAGCGTTGTCCAGGTGAGGTCTTGTTGAGCCATCACTGGCAGTGGATTATATACACGCTGCTGCAGTTGCAAACACTAAGTCCATTACCAGTGAAGGGCAGACTCAGACCATTACTTTCATCTTGGATTTTAAGCTCCACCAGGATTGCATGTACTCATGCCTGTATAGTGCCCAGCATATGGGGCTTGGCTCCTGATAAGACAGAGGCAGGGTTGGGACCATCACCACACTTGGCATCAGAGGCTTGGAAGGAACCCAGGATCCCTGCCCCCCCCTTCCTGCCCATCAGACCACCCTCTTCTCACTGAGCGAGGAACTCGGGTTGAGCTCCACGCAAGTATTTTGGTGCCTACCTCCCATTCATTTCAACAGGCTTTAGGTACCTAGATGCTTTCAGAGACTCTGAGCCCAAATCCGAGTCTGACTGGCAGGTTGCTGGTGCCCTGTAGCCTCCAGAGGCAATGCTGGAGGGTCTGTTACACAATGGAAGAAAACCAGGATGCAAGGCAGAAGGAGAAGGCAAAGGAAATCAAGCTCAGAATTAAATTCTTTAATACAAAAAAAAGTTTGTTTGTCGTCGTCGTCGTGGTTTTTTTAAGATATATCTGTAATTTCTTTGTTTAAAAATAAATATGTACTAAGGAATATCTTGAAAAAATTCACTAGACACAATATGTAGTGTTAATATCTTTTTTCCCCGCAATTATTACAGATAAACAGTAGCACCAATAAATAAAATGATAACAAATATTAAAATTAAAAAGGAGAGAGATTCAAGATGTAGAATTTTCTATTTTTCCTGTTTCTTCTTTTTACATATATAAAAAAATCGTAGTGTCTATTTAATCCGAATCACACATATACATAAACATATATATATATATACAAACACATAGCCAAATATATATATAGTATGTAGATGTATATCTAACCCTTGTCTCAATAGGAATGTGTAGGGGTAGGTGTTAGAGAAATTAATTAAATAACTGCCCATAACATGCTACTGACTCTGCCAACAATTGGGGAGAGATGGGACGGGACAACAGGAAGGTTAAATTTATACACAACCAGTACAAATAAAAAAAAAAAAAAAAAAAAAAAAAAAAAAAAAAAAAAAAAAAAAAGGAGGTACGGCTTATAAATAGTTGAAATTAAATATTAACAAAGAATACTGAAAAATCCCTACTCTTTAATTAAATTATCTGTTTAATTTCTAATTTAAAAAGGGATATTAAATAAGTATATAAAACACTTTCTCTTCCCTCCCCCCCATCGGAAGCCTCTGTCTTGCGCACGATGCAGCATGAGTATTATACATTGCAGATGCAAGCACCCACCCTCGTGTTTTTTCTCCTTCTGAAAGCCATCAGTCGGATGGGGAGTTCCTAGTGGTTAGTAGTCACTTGTTGTGAGTCTGTTTTTAGACTGTCTTGTCTTTTTGGAAGCTTTCCGTGTTGTACATTATCAGGCGTTGAAAATTCAATTGCAGATGATGTTTGGCAGCATTCTGACACAGACCGAGTACCTTTTTGATTATTATTATTATTATTATTATTAATAATTTTAATCACAGAACTAGATTATATATATCCACATAGATGTACAAACACGCTTTCGGGGGGTGTGTGCGTGCGCGCATGTGTAAGGTGGGTTTCACATACACCACAGTGTATATTGCAGATACACACATAGCCAAGATTCTCAGACATGGCTTAGGGATTCCAGCTGCCTTCATGTTTGATTCCCCAGCCCAAGACATGGAAAAGGGACCTGATATTTACAGTACGTCATAAAAAAAAATCTTGACGTTCTTAAGGGTCATTCACACTGGGCACGCAAACTGAAGGCAGCAAAAGTTGCTTTCTTTTTCCCCTCTTCAATCTTGGCATACATATATATTATTTTTTTATATATATATATGTATAAAAATAAATATATATATATAAAAAAGAGAAAAAGACAAACACACATACACACAGACACAAAGGCACACATTCACATACACACACACACACCCCTACTGTGTATATACTTTTGATTAATATCCCTTTCCAGAAATGTTCCATAAGCATCTTGGATGCTCTTGAGTGGCAGCTCTGTGCATGAAGAAAGCAGACAGTGCTGAACAACTGTGTGGCTATGCACCGGTCCCCATTCTTGCTTCAGCACACTGAAGGCCTTGTGTCCTTTTGCAGCCACCAAGGGCGGGAAATCTAGACTCCTGTGATACTTCCTTGAATGGAAAGTTAGCGTGCATCAGCTGCCCACCATCCTTAAGAGAAGCCAGCATGTCTCTCTGGCAAAGTTTCTATAGTGAATAAAGTCAACGCAAAATGTACACTGACATCCCATGTCCCAGCAAGGCAGGCAGGTTACGAGACGAGTAAAGGCGAAGGTTGGGGAAAGAGAGGGGAGGAGGAATCCTTGATCACGCAGACGGCCATTTCCTTGGCCTTTGACCCATCGCACCCTAGGATGCCGCTCTTTGGAACTCCCTGCCCATCCTCTCCATCACCTCTCCTCCCTGTCCCAGGCAAGGAGAAGGTGGTTTGTGGTACAGCACACTCTAGAGAAACAGCGGAGGCCGCACAAGTCAGTTAGAGTTAAGAAGTTTACACCCAGCGCTTCTACTCAAGTCCAGTCTTAGCTTGTTTCTTATGCCCCAAGTAGCCCGCTTGTGTCCACAGCAGTCGAGTATTATCCAGTGAAGACACCAATAACATTAGCAATGTTAAAAAAAATAATCAGTATATATATATATATATTATATATATATGTGTGTGTGTGTGTGTGGTTAAGATATACATATATGTATATATAGATGTGGTTAAAATATATATACATATATATATATGTATATGCATGTATACACACATATATATGTATGCACGGGAAAACCCATCAAATACACCCCTATAGTCTTCCTGGCTCTGTTATTTAGCAGCATGAAAAGAAAAATAAAATAAACCAGTTCAAAACCCAAAGGTGAATTCTGTGCGGCGGGTGCCTTGGGGAATGTTCCTTCCGGAGTCCATCGTCCGTACTGAAAGTGCTGTGCTCTACCGATCCTTCATTTTTAGGGTTCATTTGGATTAGTGTTTTGTTTTGTTTTTTTCTGTCCAGGCGAGAAATCAGGCTCCAGAAACAGGGCTGTTCCCCCTTCTTTTCCGCTGCTCACCGTCTTGGTTTTTCACATCTGTCAGAGAGGAGAGGGAAGGAAAAAAAAGAGGAGGGGTTAATGTTTGTGATGGGGGTGCAATCAGGACATGGGAGGGAAGGAAGGGAGGTGGCTAATGCGTTTAAGAGCACATGGTGTTAAGACATGGCATGACGTCACTGGTGGGGTGAAGTGCTGTGCAGATGGGGCAAAACAGCTGAGAATCTTGACCCAGGAATAGGTCGATGAATTCTAGTCCCCAGGCTCACGTAGATGGGGTGGGGGATACTGGTACAGGGGTAAATTTAGGAGCAGAATCAGAGGCTTCCTCACAGATGAGCAGACTGTCTTGTTTGCACCCTCTCACACCATGCACACATAGATACACACAAACACACAGAAGGACAAGGCTAAGCAACGCATGCAGAAAAACACACTCCTTCAGCTCTCCACCTAGCCTGTTGTTTGGGTTGGAAGCAGTGCAGATTACAAGGCTGCATGCAGGCAAGAAGGTGAAAAGTGCCTCTCATTCCACTAGCTGCCATGAGCAGAGGTTAGCACTAAAAACAGCAGCAGCAGCCCAAAGAAGCAGCAGGAAAAATGAGGATTTACCCTCCCCTGTAGGGCCCAATTTTAATTCTACAAGACAGAGCATGAGGAACTTCAGCTTAACCAGCTTTTTATCTGGAAGCAGATAAGCTACCCACTTCCTGTGACTGCTTCCTATCATTCTGGCCAACACACCAACTCTGGAAACCTCCCTTAGTGCCAATTATCCCACCACAGAGAGGGACTAGTAGGAGAAACTAGTAAACCCCTTCTGCCATCATGACTTCTTTAGGGTATTGTTCATTTTTAATTGGTATTTGTTGCTATTTCTCATCCTTCAAACTCTGTAGGGTAATTTCCAGTTATTCTCAGGTTTGGGAACAGGAGCAGAGGTAAAAGGCCAAAGTTAGGTCTGGTCTCACATTTCAGGGGTTATGCTCACTGGGGAAGTTTAACTCCAGAAGCTGCACTACTTTTGGTCCCTCCATCAATTACTTTTCCACAGAAATTACAGTACCCCAGAAAATTCCTCTGCATACAGAGTAGTTTCCACCACGCTGGCAGTGTCAACATCTCTCTGGTTTGGGCACAAAGCATTTTCATACTTAAAGGAAGCACTTGCAATACTTGTAGCAATCTTAGTCACCTAGCCAGTTCCAGGCAGGCAAATGGAGGCAAATGGATGTCTCCTCTTTCAGGATGTAGCCACAGAGGACCCTGGATCTCTCTCCCTTACTCTCTCCCATCCAGTCAGTGCCACTGCAATACTCTCAACAAGAGGAATCTCCTAGATCTCTGTGAAAGGGACCTGAGTTCAGTCACAGCCAAGGGTTCATTAGCAACCCCATTTCTATGTCTCTCTCTGGATAGGTAGGATGACCCCGCACTAGAGATGTAGACGCAGCTGGTGCTAGTTAAGAGACCCCACTGTGCTCACCAAAGCGCTCAGGTGAGAACCAGGAATCAGTTTCTGTGCATGTCTATGCCACAGACGGTGTGTGACAGGTAGCACTCCGATGACACATGCACAGCATGGATCTCTGAACAAATACTAACACACAGTGTCTTTACATCTCCCACCTCACACCTGAAATACAGACCTCTGCCTGCCTTCACCCAGAGACACTTAATCCTGCTGTATCCCACGTCACAGCCCTGAGTGCAGTCCCTCAAACCACAGCTCCAGCCGAGACATGGACAGGGAACTGTGAGCACAGTGGAAGAGGGCACGGTGCTCTTCCCCGCTTTTAGAAGAAGAGGCAAAGGAGAATGTGGGGACAGCCTTGAGGGAGGCTCCTGGCCTGGCTTTCCTCACTCTGAACACAGCAGAGTGTCCACAAGCCGCATAAAAAGGGCTTGGAAGACAGGGGTAGTCAAATCCCAGTCAAATAAGGATTCTTCTTTGTCCAAAAGTACCCTCAGAGTTGCATACAGATAACGTACAGAGGGCTACAGACTTCCCCCCCTTGCTACCTTAGCAACATAAACTCCATTATCTTGTTCTACTGGAAAGGATACCTCAGATACAAACGCCCTGTCTCTGGGAGCTGCCCCCGTCCAAGTCCTGACAGCACATCTGAAATGCACAGCCGCCCTCTGACACAGGGAAACTGTCCTCATCTCAGTTAGCCCCTCTGGCCCACACAGGACAGAGAAAAGAAGTAATCATATAGCACTGGTGCCAGAAGTCAGCAGGAAGCAAGCTCCCCCCTCTTTCTCTTTCTCTCTCTTTCTCTTTGTGTGTTTCTCTTTCATCCTTCCGGACACAAACCTGCAAGTGCGCTCGTTTAACTCAAGCTGCCTCGACTTGCAACGTGAGTCTGTGAATTTGCAGGAACATTTACAGGTCTGGGGATCTTGTACAAACAAGTGCTTTCTCCTCTCTGAGCAAGGCTCACAGTGACTGCAAAAAGGCAAAAGGAAAGATGTCTAAGCTACAGTGCTTCAGCAGAAAGAAAATACACATGCAACACCCTACACATCAAAGCAATCCCCTTGCCCCCTCCCACAGCCCCCATGCTGCCCACTGGAGCGTCGCGGGCTGATGGATTTTCCAGCAGCACCCAGGAAGCCCCAGGACAGCACCCCCTTGCATTAGCGTAAAGAAAAAGAAAAAAGGCTCTCTGCACAGTATTCACAAATGCTGCATTGGATCCATCGGCACAGGCCAGAGGGAGGAAGAAGGGGAAAAGCAAGGATGGGAAGGTGAGAGGTCCCAACCAGCTACTGACATATCAATGAAAGGCATTCTCTGAAGTGGGCTATTTGAGTAGAAAGAGGCCAGCAGCTAAAGGAGTTAAATACACATGGTCTCTCCTCCTCTGGAAAGCAGCTGGGCTCCAGCATCACGTGCTTACCCCTGCAGCCAGCACTGCCCTCCTTTCTGTAAACCCCACCCCAACCTTGTCACCTAGATGTCTCCTACAGAGGGGCCATGAATTTACAATGCAGAATTCTGTGAACCACCGTGAGAGAGACAGAGCAAAAGGGACAGAGACAGGGATAGATAAGCCACCAAATCCAGCAGAAAGAGATTAAAAAAGAGAGAGAACCCCCTTGAAGTTCCCCAGCACCCCCTCTCCGACTTCCCACCGTCCCACCTCTCCTCTCCACCTGTGACTCCACCAGACACGCACGCACACACGCACGCACACACACACACATGCATGGCAGATGCCAGCCTGCCTGTCACCAGTCACTGTAGCAGTGAGGGCACAAGACGAGTGGGGGAAAGCGGATGACAGAGTTGCAACCATAAGGCGTGGAAAAGAGGTGCAGGGTGTTCGCCCACCCACCCGCGCTCTCACACTTTGGGAAAATGGTCGCCACTGATGATTAGAGAGCCAAGCAAGCTAAAGCCACCTTCCCTGAGATACCCTTAGTGCCAGAGCAGTGCCACCACCAGTGCTGCCCCTGCAGGATCTGCAGCCCACCAGTGACTGGGAGGGGAGGGTGAGATTTGCGTGAGCAGCAAGCAGGCGGATTGGTTTGGGGAGCGGGAGGGAAGAGAGTCTACAAGCAGAGGACACAAACGTACAAGCTGGGTGGTTTGTACCGGCCTTTCTTGCGCTTTCTCTTTTGACCCTTCCCCTTTCCTCGCTTTGATTTTCTGGAAGAAAAACAAAAGAAACAGAGAAAGAGAGAGAGAGAGAGAAGGAAAGAAAGGCGGGGAGAGAGAGAAAACGGAAGAAAACGCAAGGAAGAAGAGAAAAAAAAAACACAGCCATGTGCCTTGCTGGGAGGGGGGAAGCACATGAGGCAGGACTGGAGGGCAAGTCCCAGGGTCGAAGCACAGATCTCCACCTTGCACACATGTTCACCAGCCCTCGTGTGCTCCTGTCAGCACCACAACCAGCCTGCCCACAGCCAAGCCAACGCCAGGGGACTCAGCAGAGACCACCTCCAGCAGGGCTGCTGCCAGCAGAGGCAGTTCTGCAGGAGCTTCAGAGAGGTACCTGCCCCGTCCAGAGAGGGGCAGCGGGAAAGGAACAGAGGGTGAGGGGGAAGGAACAGAAAGCTTCGTGAAAGCGTCACGCGACCGCAGTGAGTGCAGACAACCGTTCCAGGCGACAAGCGCAGGCGCACACTGACTGACAAGAGGTAACCTGAGTGGAGGGGTTCTCCCTGGGGAAAAGGAAACTGCTCTGACCTGACACGCTGCCCAGCACTGGGTCTAGGAGGGGGCAGCTGAGCTCCAACAGCTCTCCTACAGGGCTGGTGGTAATCTTCTGCCTTGGGATGGGAGCAAAGGGGGCCTGGCCTCAGCACCCCGCAGACAAAGGGAGAGACCTGGTCTACAAGCAGTGCTGTGTGGGAGAGCTATCTAGCCCGAAGGCTCTGCTCACCCACCCCAGATCCTGCCTGTGGTTTGGAGGACTCCAGGAGACCTCCCTGGATGCCTGCTAACATCCCCTCTGGCAGTCTCCATCATAGGTAGGGAAGGGGAAAGAGGGAGGCCTGACCTAGCTATACACCCAGGAGATAACCAGCAAGCAGCTTTCAGATCTTCCCTCCTCTCCCTCCCTCCCCTCCCCTCCCCTTCCACATGGATCTGCCAGACAGACAAGCAGACAGAGCCAAGGCACTGACTCCATTCTGAAAAATTCACCAGTTGCTCCCAACTCTTGGGCAGGAGCTGAGACAGGAAGGGGCTAGGGCATGCAGGCCTGGGCACTAACAGTGGATCCCTACAGGCCAGTGAGAGCACAGGGAGGGAGGGAGGCTGGAGCCTGCGCTGCTCCTTGAGCCACATTAGCACAGAACCAAGGGAGAGACATGCAAGGAGAAGGCCCTAGGCAAAGCACCAGGGCTTGTCGGGCAAGTGAGCCCCAGCACTGTGGCAGTTCAGCAAAGGCTCCCTTGTTCCCTGGCCTTGGGAGGAAGCTGTCAAGGGGACATGGGGGGACAGAAGGGACAGCACCATAGCTGTTTCTTAGGCCCTGTTCAAGTCGTCTCACTGGAATGAGTGTCAGAGCATCAGCTCGCTCCCAGCCTCTGCCCTACATGTCTGGAGTCACAGGGAGGCGGTGAGGGAAGGAAAATCGACCTGAAGGGAGGAGATGGGCACCAATATAAACAGACTTTCAATCCAGCACAAATCAAAGCACAGCAATCTCTCCCATCCCTTCCCTTCCTTCCCCAGGGAGTGCAGAACCAGCAAAGAGCAGGCAAGGTGCTGTTAGAAGAGGAAAGGGAATGCAACACAGTCCGGGCTGGCTGCTTCACCCACACCCCATCCTCACCAGAGTTCACACAGACCCAACTCTCGCACACCTTCAAACCACAGAGCCACGCAGACCGACCGTCCCCAACACCGCCCCGCACAGAGAGGAGTGTTGGCTGCACAAAGCCCAATGAAGCCAGGAGCATATTTCCAGGGGAAGGAGGAGAGGCTGGAAGGCAGCTAGAAATATACAACCACCAGGAGAGGGGTGAAAGAAGTTCTCTCACTCTCCCACTTGCTCTCTCTGTTTCTGTTTCAGCCTCATCTCCAATATTGACCCCCTTCTGCTTCAACTCCACACCTCTAAACGGCAGAGTCACTACCCCAGCCATGCCCAGACCAGTTGACCCTCTCACCCAGAGAGTTCACTCTTTCTTTTTGATGTTGTTCCACCTTTAGTGATTGGCCCTGCAACTACTGCAGGACAAGAACTTATTTCTCTACTTTCCACAACCTTTTAACTTTGGGGAGGAAGGAAAGGGAAGGTTGTACCTTAACCTCCTTCAGATCACCAGAGCAAATCCATCAGACTGAAAAAACCTCTCATGAAAGCCTCCACCGAGACCCAATTAGGTCATCCACCTCCCTTTACACCCTCCTGGGCCCCCACCCAACCAAAACCAGCGACACATCCTGCATGGCATCAGTCCTGCCTCCACCAGGCCTCTATTACCACCTCTCCCTGTAGCCAGCAGAGTTCCTACCCAAGCTGCTGTGAAAGAAGCCAGCAAGTACTCACTCAAGCAGCAAGAAAAAAATTAATAATAAAGAAAGTCAGCGATCTGCAGTAACCAGAAACACCCCAGGAAGAGGGAAGGGAGGATGGGGGATGCACCTTGAATCCATTCTGGTAGGACACACACGATGGGACTTCCCTGACTCGGGATAAAGCATTAGGAATGACTGCCATGGCTGTGGGTCATGCAAGCTCCAGGTCTGGGGTATGAAGGAAGGACCGTCAGATCTGGGTTTCTGTGCCCACCTGGAACGGATTCAGAGTGTCGCCCCATGCACTACCATATGCCATTTCCAAAAACACCTTCTCAAAGTATCTCCAACCAAAGAAAAGGACAAGGGGCAGTGGGGAGAAGAAATGCCAACCAACCACCAAAAGAGAAAGGAGGAAAGGCTTGTCACTTACTTTTCTTGTTTGTTTTTGACATCTTTCTTTGGTCTGTGGGGAAGAGAGAACAAAGGCTTCATTAGAAGGGAGCTTACCACATATGTTTCCAGTACTATCCCCAGTTCCCATCAAGTCCAGGGAAGGACATGTATAGCTAGCACTGCAGGATACCCATGGCACAGGTTAAGTGGTCCTTCTCAAAGTGTTTGCTCTCCTGGTGCACCTCACTGGCAGCCAGTGCCAAAAGACCCCAGGTTGCAGGCTAGCATTGTCCGCCTGTGATATCCAGAGATGGAAGAGCCTCGCCAGCAAAGGACTTCTTTTCCCAGGCTCAGCCATCCCACTTCAAACCAACTGAGGAGACTGCAGAAGCCTCTGGACAACAGTCCCAACCCAATGGCAGAAAAAAAGGAAAGGCTCAGAAAAAGTTTATTGCAAGAGGAACCAGTGCTGCTCCATTCTCACCTGCAGTCACATTTACTGTGCTGTAAGAAGCTCATGTGCGCTATGTGCTGACTCTGATGGGGTTTAATTCTCATGATCTGGAATGAAAGAAACAGAGAGGGTCACCGCCCATTCACTCTTTATATTCACAGCTCCAAATCAGCCTGCTGCGAAGCAAAGCATTTGCACCCCAGGTGCTCCTGGGAAGAGCACGGCAGAGTCTGAGCTGGCTTTGAGACCTCATTCTCCCAGGCAGCAAAGGCCTTTGATCACAAGCAAGCGGCAACACCAGACTTGTGCCAAGGCTCTGTTTGCTCATGCATGCAAGGTGCCAGCCCTGGTGGACTGCCTTGGAGACAGGCATGGGAGAGGGCATAACACCACAGCAAGGTTCTCACTGAGCTGTCCCTGGTCGATGCTAGAGAGACAGTAACAGAGCATCCAGCCTGCTTTCACATAGAAGCATGCTTCAGTCTAATGCGAAGGGCCGAAGCAAAAATTCCATATCCAACTCCTTTTCCCTAAGCCACCGTTCCTTCCCAGCTGACGTCTCACTTTCTCAGTGAGTTGACACACGAAGTAAATCTGGTGATCTGTGTTTAAAACAGTCCTGCAGAGCCCTTCCCCCAGCCCCAGACGCCTCCAAGGAAATCGTACTAGACGCTAAGCATGTATTGTCACAGTCTCTCAACCCAGAACCTGGCTGGACCACTAGCTCTAGCGTCTGGACCAGAGATCTGCTCAAGCGCCTCTGATCCTTTACAGGAATGGGGGCATACCGGCCAAAATCTGTAATTCAGCAAGGAGTGGTAGAAAGAAAACCATTCCCAGCTACAGCGTGCTAGTATGCTCTGGCCCAGGCTGGAGCCTGCTAGTGGAAAGGCAGTATGGGGAACCATGGAAGGGCACAGACAGGTTCTCCACCGGAGTTCAAATACAGCTCAAATGACAAGTAAGAAGAGCTTGCTGGTCAACCACTTAGTCCCGCATGTCTCTCATCTGTATCAAAAAGCGATGGCAATATTTACAGTGGCCATTCAAGAGGCTGAGGGGCAAAAGTAGGTGAGGGAGCTATGGGTTAAGGATAATGGGCACCAACACCGTTGCAGACCCAAGATGGCATCCAGGCTTGCAGACAAAGCTCTCTAAAGCAGAGTTTGCATCTTCCCCATGTCTCCAGTCTTTGCTATCTCCACCATCACTGTTGTCTTCCAAGGAATGAATTCAGCAGCCTCCAAACAAAGGAGAATGCCCAGAGGCAGAAAGGCTTTTCCACTTGACACTGAAGCAGTGTGTTTCTTAGAGCCCCTTTCCACCCCTGCTGTGCCAATGTAGCTAATGACCCAAATCCCCCGATCTGTTGGTAAAGGCTGACCTCACATGCCCTCCAGGAGAGTACTGACAGGCTTTCCCATTTTGCACTACTCAGTTGCCTTCAGAGCAGCAGCTGTGTGGACCAAACGAAGAGCAAGAGCCCAAGGAATGTCGTCTTTGGGGCCTCAGAGATAACTCCATCAGAAATGCTGCTTCACATTCTCCTTTGCAGAAATGCTCCTCTGCATGCTCCTACCTACTGTATTTGGGCACTAGCAAGGTCAGAGCCAAAAAACGGGTTCTCCTCTTAGCCTTGAACAGACATGGGCAACTCATCTTTTAACCCTCCATGGTGTAATGCTGGGCACAAGGGTCAGGAGAGAGGTGAGCCCTCCTGATCCAATCATCTGCAGTGCCCTGGGGTAGGCTGCCCTTTCTCTGAATTAGCTAGGAGCTGGGACTTGGGGTGGCTGACTCGCTTCCTTCCACCCAAGCATGCCAGCTTGCAAGCAGGGCCCTCACCTCCATCGTGACGTTGTACACATCCACAGGGACACATTCTAGGCCCTCATCGCCGCAGCAACCCGCACATCTCATCAGAGGCACACAGGATGGCTTGAATATGTACTCCACCTCATCAGGGTACTCCTGGAAAATGTCCACCAGGGTCTCAATTGTCCTGCAGAAGCTGCGCTCGTAGACTTCCAGGAATTTGATAACTAAAAGGAGGAATGGAGGGAATAAGTTAATGCAAACTTAACTCCAGAACACCTAGTGCTTCGCCCCTTAAAACGAGCCAGACAGTTGCAACACATCTGCCCTATACTCTCCACTTACAGTCTTGCAGGCCTATGTCCTTTGTCTCTGAGAGAAAGACAATCTCTTCCTACCACTGCTTCAGGCCAGAGGCAAGATAGATAAGAGAGCCTCACTATTTGCCTCCCTGGCACCACGATGCATCCCACAGGTGTCTCCTCCCCAAACCCCATCCTCACTATCCCCCATACTCTCGGATATGCTGCCATATTAGCTCAGCCAAAAAGCACCTGAGGCTGCTGCAGATGATCTGCACTCTGGATTAAGGTCCTTCACCAGTCTGCCTTTTACCCCTTTCAAAACAGCCAGTGGCTGCCCCAGTGGGTTTTAGAAAACAAGGGGATAAGCCAGAAGCATCCCTTCTACAGACCTTGATGCAGAGACACTTTGGAGAACAAGCAGAGGGTTCTGAACAATTCACGTATCTTCACTCTTCCTGTCAGCTACCTCTTTTTCCCACGCAAAACATCCACCTCAACAGACCACCTCTGAACTACGACAGCACCTGCTACAAGTCACAGCCTCCGTGTCTCCACACTGACCACTTTCCTCAGACCAAGAAATCAAGCCACCCACTGAAAGACTCAAAGCAAGCCCATAGCACCCCCAGGATTAACTAGACCATATACTTGGCTACAGAACCACAACGAGGCAGTGTGGGAGGGGGAACAGGGTGGATCTGTCATTATCCCCTGCCTTTGCTACAAATGGAGCAAACACTAACTGCTTGCGATCTGCACTGATTTCACAAGCCTTTCTCAATGTTTCCCAGTCTCTTGCCAAAGCTTCATTTTGCTGCTTGGTCAAGGGTTGGAGACGTTTAAAGAGATGAGAGATAGGATAGATAAGTACACACGCACAAAACCCAGCTGCTAGTACAGTTCTGTAAACAGTGAGTACCTAGAGCCCTCCAGGCCTCCTAGCTCTACCAGCACACAGGCAAAGGAGGATGTCTCAAATGGAGCAGAGGATAAGAGTACACACAAAGAGATAGTACTTGCCCCATGCTGTTATGCACTATAATGATCCACCTGTACAGTATGCAGAGTCCTACAGCACCAAGGTTGATAACTCTGAGTGATAAGAGCAAACTGCTTGCATCATGGAAAAAAATGGTCTCCAGTAAGCGTTTCTGAAGTGCCCTGAACTTGTGACAAACTGGCATAAAGGTTACTTTGCCACAAAAATGCAAAAGCTGCAGGGCTTGGAGCTCACAGCCCGCAGTTAATTGTTGAAAGTTAATTCTAGGTCATGCAGAGCTGACAGTGCCACAGTGCTGAGAGCGGGTACAAGAGGGGAGGAGTTTCCATCCAGGGAGTCTGAAGTGTCAGAGAGCGTGAGCAGCTATTAAAAGAGAAAGTGGCTCGTGAAAGGGAAATGTAGCCTGGCAGGCATGGACTGCTTGTTGGTATTCCTTGTCTTGAAGACAGTATGTTTCTGTTCCTTGTCCCTTTCCTTCCTCTTCTCTCCTCTCTTAACTGCAGTATGCCTCCTGTCTGTTCTCCTATCTTGTCTGCAGCTACCTCCTTCTTCCCGTTCCCCTTCACAGTGACCTTAGTCACTGCCTATGTTCCAACAAGTTGAACAATTTAATATGTGGGAAATTCTGCAGATACAATGACAGTCGCTGAACCGCACTGTTGATTATTCACGCTGTGCCAGCAGAAAAGATCTGGGAACTCTAGCAGTAAAGGCACAGTTCTGGATAAAAATGCTTACAAACCTACGTCAAGGGGAGGGAGGGAAAAAAAGAGGTAGGGAAAATGGCAGTTACCTTTGCAGATCAAATGCTGCTCACCACAGTAATCTGGGGCACAAAGGAGGGAGAAACCGAAACAGAGTAGAAAACTGAAGTGAAACTGATTCATGTCTGCCACGCTTTCTAAATGCACTGCACAAGCAACTGGATTACACCAGAGAATCCGGACTACAGATTGGCCACAGAACAGCACATTCAACTTCTTTTGAAGAGCCTTTACTTTCACGGCTGCACCCTAATGACTATACTGGAGATCTGGGAGATTTGACAGGACCAAATCCTTCCCATAAAGAATCTGTGAGATTTTGCCTTTGCTTTAACATATAATGATTTTCCAAAGTCTGATTCAGCCTCTGAAAAGGAAACTCAGAATCGTTCTCCTGCTGCCAGTCAGAAGATCCTGCCATGAAAGGCGCATTGCCTTGATTCTGCTGGACACAGAGCATTCACACGGAGACCGTGCAATGCTCCATAGTTCATCTGCACAGTTAGCACCCAAACCGGAGTGCATGACTGAGGCACAGTCATCCTCACAGCAAAGCCCTGCCCCTGCTACCATACCTACACTTACTCCTATGTACCAGGAGTCATATTCCACACTTTGCCGGGCTGATTCAGTCTGTGCTTCCTTTCCATTGGTTGGGTCAGGGTCAGAAGAAGGTCTGTCTTTCATGGGGAAACATAGGAAGGTCACTGAAGGACTAACACCACTTGGCTTGCTCCCTTCCTGCAATCTGGGCTTCAGCCCACGTTAAAAGCTAATCCCGCATTTAACCCACACCCCTACCCTGCAAAACACCTCCAGATTTGAGTCAGAGATTCTTCTTTGTGAATGGAAGGGGAAGTAAGGTTAAAACTCAGTCAGGGCCCACATTAACTCTTCAGGGCAGGCATAGCCACAGCAGGCAGGATTAAGTCCAAATTTGGAGCAGCTGAGTGGGAACATGCTAAACTAGAAAAGGAGCAAGTCTATGATCATTCTGCCTCCCTCCCCGTCAATGGCTTAGCAGCAATACAGACACACTGTTCTTTTAAAAATAAAAGTGCAGCCACAAATGCTGGTGGTTTCCTTTATTTATACCAGAAAATCTTTTCTCGTGGAACAAACAAAGAGTGTTTGTCTGACTCCTCTACAACTTCCCGTGCCACAAAACATGTGGAAGGCTCTCTTGAGCACAAAAGGGTAGGGGCTGAAGCTAAAATTACAGTCTCCAACCAGAGTAAATCCACCCCAAATAAAAACCTGTCACAGCTTGACATCTCAGAGCAAGCAAAGAATGGCCATAGACACAGTATCACCTTTCACCCCAACCCCAAAGCCCCCAAGAGCTTCAGTGGAAGGAACTACAGGACTGTCCTTGTGGAAGAGAGGCACATCATCATCTCCTCTTCACAGAGGAGAAACTGAGGTACAGAGAGAGTACCTCCAAGGTCACACAGCAGGGCAAAAGTAGAGCCAGGAAGGTAATGACAAGAGTCCTGATTTCTAACTCACAGATCTACCTGCATCACAGAACCAGAAATAGCACCAAGGCAACAGCACCAAAGTCTCACTGCTCATGCTGGCAGACCAACTTCTCCAGCAATCCCATCAGCCCTCTTGTGACAGGGAATTAAATTCTGTTTGATTCTTCCCCTCCCCAGGAAGGCAGTCGGACACAACAAATGGCACAGATGAGGACACTAGCTCTTTTCTACCAATAGCAGAGGACTGGTTACCAAAATAAGCCTCACAGCAGGCTCCATCTTGATCCCTCTGGAGTTACTGAACCTTCTTCTGTTGACTTCTGTTGACAGGAGCAAGGGTCAAGCACAACAGGCAGCAGCCCACCAGCAAATCAGAAATTTTGCCCATGCAAGATGGACATCTATCCCAAATACAGCCTGCCACAACCCTCTGGCAACGCACATGCAGTCTGTCACACCAACAGAGTTACCGAAATTGAAATGGAGTGCGGCAAAAAAAAAAAAAGCCAATCTGGGCCCACACTGCTAGAGCCCTCTGCTGACCTCCAGCTGGAATAACGCTGGAGGTCACAACCCGTGGGGACCCTGCAAGACCTTTGCCAGACCCTGCCATGCAGCAAGCGGTCTGTTCTGCTGTGAAGGTATGGAGAGAACACAGTCAGGATGGTCTTAAAGCAGCTGATGATCACCTCGGCCTGAAGGCTTCAAAGTCCACAGCTCTTTTACCCACTTCTGAACTAAGGACTGCAGAAAGTAAGCCAACTTCCCGCAACACACAGGGCTCGACTGGACAGGCCACTTGGAGGTGTCTCCAGCTAGTCTGGGGGCTGACTGCTCTTCTGGTCTACATTTACTCACACAAACCGATGAGGCAGAGGACACTGCCACAGCCTGGCCTTTGGGTGGCCACAGAGACGAAAAATCACAACAGCTGCAGAGTCACCACCTTGTTTCCTCACCAGGCAATGGTTCTGTCAACACGGGACCACCACTAATGAATTAAGTAAAACATACCAAACCACACTGCTGTCCTCTCAATCTGCTAAACCTGCTAGCTGAAACTGGAGTAAAAGGGTGTATTTTTTGAGCCTGGCTCTGTACAGCGCTTAGCAATACCCTGACTAGGAGGGCACCTGGGACCGTCAGGGGGCATGACTCCAGAAAATCATCCTGGCCTGCCCTTTACTCCTTCTCTCGCCTCAGAGACTTGCCGCCCGGCCGTCTGGGAAGAGTTGGGGCGCTGCTTCTGCCTTTGTTTGGGGATCAGCCCTTGTCACCGAGCCGGGCACCGCCAGCGCTGCTGGGGAAGAGGAGGGCGGTGAAGATGACAAATCCCTTCCTAAGGCACTGTAGCGAATCCCAAGCAAACTCTGCCGCTACTGAGCTCTTTGTGTACGCGTGTGCGTGTGTATATATATATATATATAACTGAGCGTGTGTATGTGCACTAGTGCACGCACGCAGTTTTCCTCAGACTTGTGGGACTGTCTCTTATACAC